TTGAAGGGCCGCCACTCCTCGTGCCTGCACGGGGCTTCCCGGCTCATCCGATCGGGTATTTGCACACATGTGCTCTCCTCTGGCCCTCATTGCAAGCTGAGAGGTGAAGAGCAGATCTAGTCGCCCCCACTTTCTGGATGTGAGAACCGGGCCAGGAGATGGGGCAGTTTCCCAGGACCATGAAGGGACACGGCAGAAATGGGCTTTGGGAACACCGGCCCAGTGCTCCTTCCCTGAAACCAAGCTGGGGGCCAGAGGGCAGGGGTCAGACGCAGGACCCCCTGTCCAGGAGCGGAAGGGACTCCATTTTCTTTCTTCATCCCTGCCTGCCTGACCAGGCATGCCCCGAAAGCTAGTGCCACAGACTCACCGATCCCGTTCCCACCCCCGACCCCGGCAGCCCCGGGAAGGGGAGGTGACTGGTCCTCTCCCTTGCTTCCTGCCTGGCAGAGCTCCCCGACCCCTACTCCTGCCCTGGAGCTCAGCCTCCTCCCTTCCCTACCTGGGAAGACAGGCAGTGCTAGGCTGGGGGTGCAGCCCAGTGCTCTCGGGACCCCTACCTGTGCCCCGGCCCTCGGGCTCCAAGGCGTCGCCAGGATTGAGCTCCTCGATGAGGGGGTCTCCATGTTCCCTGCGGATGACACTGTGGGAGAGGGTACAGACCTTTGGCACCTAGATCCACTCTGTCCCTGGGCACCCCAGGTCCCACGGTGCGCGGCTGCCACCTGCTCACAGGCCTGCCTACACCCTGGCTGTTCCCTTCCTGGGGTTTAATTGCCGCTGGTAAATATTGATTTTCCTTTCCCTAATGGATGAGTTATAGACAGCCTGAGCAAGGCCAGCTGATGGATGGAGCAGGGGCAGGGCTGCAACCACCTTCAACTGACCTTCGCTTTCCTTCACGCCCCGGTCTCCTTGTCCTGGGTGGTGCCCGCGCCAGTGCTGCCCACTCCATGCCATCCCTGGGCGCCCGCGAGAAGCAAGCCCCGCCCCCTCCCACAGCTTTTACCCCCTCCTGCCCCGCGTGTCGGCTCTGTAAGAGCGCCTCTTATCTCCCCGCTTAGGCTGCGCTCTGTGCAGCCAGGACCTGTATTACTCATCCTCGCGTCTCCGCATCTCTGCGCATCTAACACGCTGGCTGGCTCTCGGGAAGCTCCGAGCACAGTCTGCAGGACGCATGAGTGGGTCCAGAGGCACAGGCAGGAGCGAGGGCCCTTGGGGTTGCCGGGGTCCTGTCTATTTTGAACTCCGGGCCACCATAATGCTCGTTCCAGAAAGACCTGCTTTCTTTCACACAGCCCCGTGCCTATGGCGGGGGGGCGCGCCTCTCGAATTCTCACTCGTGAGACTCTCACAGCCTTGGGTGTCCTGCCCTAGGCGTGTGGAGCTACAACAGGGGCAGACAGGGGACCAGGAGCAGCCTGGGTCACTGTCCCACCCCTGCAGATGCTGCTGTCTGCCCACATCAGAGGGCACCAGAGGACTTGGTGGGACTGGTTCCTCTCGGAGGGCAGGGGCCCCTGAGCTGGAACCTATGGTGCCGGATGGCAGCAGGAGTGGCAGAGCTGGCAGAGTGCCTCTGGGGTCGGGCAGGTGCCCTGCGGTGGCTCTGTCCACGTCTAAGCTGAGCGAATTCCCGTGCACAGCCTGGGTGGTCACAGCGTGCTGGGTGGTGTCCCACGCGTAGACACGCACGGGTGTGTGCTGTAGGCGTGTTTGCCCAGCCTGCTGACCACCGACCCTCTGAGGTATGTGCCACTCAGATAAAGAGGGAGGGGTGAGGGCTGGAGGGTGTGGGTAATGTGAGGTCCAGGCCTCGTATAGCCCAGAGTTGAAAGAGGTATGGCGTGTCTGTGCTTAGACATACACGGGGCAGTGGCGAGTGATGAGGCTGGGGACAAAGCCGGCCCACTGCTGTGTCAGAGTGTGGACTTAATCCACAGGCAGTGGGGAGCTTCTGAGGGGCTGTACGTGCAAAAGGGGTGTGCGTTTCCAGCAGCTGGCTCTGCAGGACCAGAGACCAGCAGTCTGGCTGGTAGGGATGCAGAAATCCCCGGAAGAGGCCGGGAGCGGGGCAGGAGAGCTGAGAGCCGATCGGAGGCACCTGCTCTGTCTAGGTGCCTAAGCGGGGTGACGTGCACAGTGCAGCTGTCCTGGGAGGGGCCCTGTTGATGGCTCGTGTCCACCGTCCATGCCTGGTGAGAGTCTGGTTTCGGTGGTAAATCCCTTGCCCCTACCTGCCCCTCCCCCCCACAGTGTCACTAAAGGACTCGGAGACTCAGGCACGTGAGGCTTTGGGTCGCCGGGGCCTGGATGGCCGGAGAGCACCAGCGCCAGGTGAAAAGCCCAGGCAGTGCGGGACAGGTGGGGTTAAACTTCCGGCGCTGCCAGCTGAGTGGCAGTCCCAGCTGCAGCCTCTCGCTCTCCGCTGTGTGTTCAGGACCTAGCCATCTGCCATGGGGACTTGGGGCGCAGCCACGTACCTGGGAAGTGTCTGCATGGAAGCAAACACTCTCACCCACTGGGCCACCACGTGGTGACTCTGTCCGCTGACAGCTCGGGGCCAGCCTGCCCCGTCCTTCCTCCCAACCCTCCTGTGGGCAGCAGGAGGGGAGGCTGGGAGGTTTGAAGAAGCAGGCGGGACAGACAGGCAGACAGGGCAGGTGCCTGGGTCCTCGGGCCACAGAGACAGACTCCTCAGTGCTCAGGGGCCCCAGCAAGTGACACTTTATTAGCCAGAGAAGGAAAGCAGTGTCTCTGTAAACGAGCAATTGATCTTCTGCAATTAATCTGGAAGTTGTGAATAAGCTTTTTGCAAGGCACCTAATTAGTAAATCTGGTGCCTTCAGGGGGTGATTACATCCAGCCAGGATTGATGCTTTGTTAATAATTATATTTTAAAACACGCTTAGTCACAGCTCACGCTTTTTATTAATAGTTGGGCCCTCCTGGGAAGGTGGTAGGGGCCCTGGGGGGCGGAGCATGACCTGGCCCATTTCCTGGATCCAAGACCCCTGGCCATCCGCCTCTCCTCGGCTGGTTCTGAGTCCCACATGTGCGTTTTAGTCCAGGAACAGGGCCATCCCAGGCCACGTCAGCTTGAGGTTTCCTCCCCAACAGCGCTTCTCAAACTATATGTAATTAAGAATCACCCGGCACCGACTGCATTTGTTAAAATATGGATTCCTGGCCTTCCCTCCCCCCGAGATTGTGAAGCGGAAGGTCTGGGTTGGGCTCCGAGATTCGGTACTGTGACTCTGGGTGATTCGGAGGCCAATGTCTCTGGACACCCCTTAAGGAAGTGTTGTCCTAGGAGACCTCTAGATGCAGTGCTCAAATGCTGACTGGTCCCTGCCACCTGGGAAACCCCGCTTGTCTACCAGGAGTGCTTGGCATCCAGCACTTCCCGGAGGGCTTCTGTGGAACACCAGTCCCTAAAGAAAAAGCTCTGACAGTGACCCATGGTTGACTCGGCACGGAGTGCTCCATCCACCTGTGGGAAAGTTAAATACTCAGGCCGGGTGGCGTTAAAGGCTCTGAGAAGTCCTGCAGGGAATGAACCTGCTCATCTTGGTGTAACCCAGGCTTACCCTAGCAGATTCACGTCTGTAATCCTTTTTTGTGGTTGGGGACTGGGCAGTCGGAAAAGTGAGGACACATTTTTTTGTCTGGTTTTTTTTTTTTTAATGCAAAAATGTGTCCTGACTTTTCTGACAAGCAAATAGATTTAAACGGGTGAAGCTTGGGTTTGGGGCTCACTTTGGGCCATGTGGCTCTGCCCACTTCCTGGAACAGGGGAAGGTGCTCCTGGCACAGAACTCGCCCCGCCCATGCACTGCAGCCTCTGCTCAGCTCCTGCCTTCCTTCCTCCAGTCCCTTCCTCGGGGTGTGGGGGGACTTCCTCTACCTCAGCACTGACTCCCCAGTCCTTGGAACGGCCCCTTCTGATTGCGGAGCCCTTCCCCCGACCCCCCACCTCCCCAGCCATCCAGGGCCCAGCATCTACCGGAAGAGGCGG